GGGAGGAAAGTTGCCTAATAACCAATATTACAATCTGCTCTTACCAGGAAATCCCAGCATGTGATTAAAAGCTTTTGAAGTGATATTTTGCCTATAAATAGAACCTTGTGAGAGTAGAAAATCACAAAAGGCTAGCTGGTTATAGGTCTTCCTTCCGGATCTAGAGTCGTTTTGCTGTGTTTTCGACCTATGGCAAGGTATTTAGAAAAAAGTCGAATGATAAAATTTTGACCTGGAATATTGCTCATGTGTAGGTCTCATGGTGCTCAGTATACGCTTAAAGTTTCAGCGAAAACCAATGTTTCTTTCTCGAGATAATGAATTTGCAAGAAATATCTAGATTTCATAGAGAAGTCAGAGAAATTGGGTGCTCTTTGGTACTCATTAGCTCAGGAACGAAACATCAGTTTTCGGTGAAAATTTTAGCGCATACTAAGGACCATGAGGCCTACATATGGGCAATATCTCAGGTGAATACTGCGTCATTCGATTTTTTTTCTAAATACCTTGCTATAGACTGAAAACCCAGTGAAACGACTGTAGGTCCAGAAGAAAAGCCTACAAGCACTTAACTTTTTGAGCTTTTTCTAGTTTCACCAGGTCCTTATTATAGGCAAAATATCCCTTCAAATGCTTTTATTCACACGGTGGGATTTCCTCGTTGGTCATTTTTGTGAAACACGATCTAAAAGGAGTGTTGAGGTGTACTCTCTAAAAAAGCAAAAGGTATTAAACCTTCCTGTTACAGTGATGTCGCATGTATATATATTCACTATTTATTGTTAACCTCTATTCTCTTTCATCTCTTTGATTCTTTAATTGGTTCCTTTGTTTTCTCATTCTTCATATATATATCTCATCTATATCGGTACCCCTACATTTCGTCCCCTACTTTTTGTCCCATACAACTCGTCCCAATTACATATCGTCCCTTTACAATTCGGCCCCTTACTATTCGTCCCATTTACATTTTGTCCCAATTTCATTTTATCCCCTTACAAATCGTCCCAAATTTATTTTGTCCCTTTACATTTCGTCCCATACAGTATCTATTAATTTACATTACAATAATATTTAAAAAATTTTATTAAAATAAATTCAAGTCCATATTTTCAAGTTCATAGCAATTCTAGTTAAATATTCCTTGATATTATTGACATCATAAGACAGTGCGATTCTTTTCAATCGTGCATCAAGATCCACATAAACTCTTTTTTTTTCTTTGGTAGTTCACCTGCACGAAGTCGTGCAATATCTATTTCAAATCTCGCTTGTTCACGTAGTATACATTTTGCAAGTTTAGTTATAGCAGGATGTTTGATTGATACCTGATTATTGAATGCATGATGCCAATCATTTATGGCATTATTAGATCTTGGCAAGTCTTGTATAACTCGATCATAAATATTCCATAGTTGTAAACTAAATCTTGGTTTACCACGTCGGCTACGTATATTAACGTTATAATATTAAATATATCGAAGATATAGATCTAAAATGACACAGACCTCTTCCCTTCTTTTGACCAACCTATACTCGTTCAAAATAATCAAGTAAAAGATAATCTTCATCATCAAAATCATTAACTAAAGATGAATAAGCTTTAAGTACATCACCAACAGGTACAAATACAAGTCCCTTTAGTTTTTTTACCTTTATTCAAAATTTATCATCATTCGTGTATTTATTTTGTAAACCTAATGATTGTACTTCTCGCCACAAGACAACCTAAACTTATAGCAAAAGTAATTTTTGCCTCAAAAAAGTTGTGTATAAATTACCTGTCTGAATAGCTTCGGGAAACATTGTCTTAGTTGATTTAAGAGTAGCACTCTCAAAATCAACTAAAATAGACTCAGGTTCATAATCATAATGCAATAAGAGCTGTTCAAAGAGACTACTATAATCATCAGTATTTTTTCCAATAAGTAAAACATATGCAAGAGGAATAATTTGAAGTGAATACATTCCATGAACAGTACATAATTGATAATAACCGTTGGGACAAATCTAAATATTCGAATTCTCTCAAGAGGAAGTTAGGAAAAACAATACATACACTGAAGGTTCCGCCCATGAACCAATGTTTACATTCCTTTAATACCGAAAGATTTTTATCACATGTAAATATAACCATAGAATCAACTTCATACAAGATGAAGCTTTCACCACGATCAGTTTGTCGTAATATAAGAGGTAAACGAACATGATGATCAAGTTGTATAGCTGGTCGTTCACGACTAATTGTTTGCAATAATGCATCATTCGTAGGTAAACCAAATGCTGCTGTCAATGGTGTTGAACGTAATACATCAAACAAGATTGTACTTGGTGCTTCAGCTGATGATGTACCGCGAAGTTTAATCTCATTTTTAAGTCGAATTATGTGAAGTCGATCTGGATCAGGTGCATGTGAATGTTTGGATGGTTCTTTAATGAAAGCTTGCATCTGAATATTTGCTTGACAGCGACCGAAAAATATAATATCAAAAAATTTTCAGATTATATTTTACGATTTATACTTACTACGACAATCTCGATCTGTACATCAAAATATACGCTTTTCTTCAGTAATTCTATGTTGGATATAGAAAAATCCCGAACAATATATCATGGAATTTCCTCTGGAACTT